GGTGGGGGGGGGGGGGGGGGGGGGGGGGGGGGGATAGTAGGGTTGGAACAATAGAAGGTAAGACAGGAACTATACCACAAGTCCAACCAGAGACAATACTGCAAAGAATGAATGCCAATTTTCAGGGGTGAACTCCTGGGTTGAGTAGAAAAAGTTTGTGGAGTGACAATAAAAGAAAGTCAATCCCAACACGAAGAAAGAGATCTCATTAAATTCAGAAAATTGCTTGATCAATTATTATGAATGTAAATTCAACTGACCTTCAGGAAAAATGACATTGCAACAAGCAAGCTGCTAGCAGTCATTACAGATGAGGATACCTAAAGAAAAGAGTATAATCAAGTTATCCATTTGTTTTCTTTTTCAGCAAATAGAAACTGCATGTGAAATTTCTGGAAGGACTCACAATGAGGAGTAGCCTGCGTCCCGCCTTGTCCACCAGTGATGCAGAGATACCAGTGACAATGACCTATAAAAGATGTATATTAACTTGGAATAATATATACATATAAACTAACATTAGATCCAAGGGAACCGGCTTACCTGAATAGCCCCGATACCAAATGTTGCTGCTTTACTGGATGATATTCCTGCAAATTTGAAGAGCATTGCAATTAAACTCCTATGTCAAACCAGTTGTAACATTTCATAGTGTCTCTATGACTAGGTGGTATTATGCATACAGTCTAATTCTGATACACCTGGAATTAATTTGGCAAATAAAGAGAAGGCTCGTGATACCTTCTAAGAGTGGGAAACTGCACGCCATAATGTAGAATTAAGATTACAGTTCGTAGTAACTTGCCTATTTTACTTGAATCCACTACAAAAACTTCATCCTGATATCAGATATGGTCCCGACTTTTTGTTGTCTAATTCTCCAATTCATCACCTCTTGCTGACAATGCAATCAAAATTTATGTTCAAGGTGGATATCATGCTACAACATGGTTGGGTCATGAATGAATATACAAGTCTCTAGCTGGTGTTTGGTAAAGCTGTTTTCCCAAATTGTAGTATATGTCGATCTGGTTAATGGCATATTACCTTTTGGCACTGCAGTGTATGTGAATCTGGATAATGGTATATTATCTTAGATTGAGAGATCATCACAGATGGCACTTCACAATTTTAAGCTATTTACTGAGTGATAGCTGAGTAAGGACTGTGGCACACAACATGGGAATCATTTCTCAGGTACCAACAAAATGAAAATGAATAGTTCAAAAGGCACGGCATATTCGAATGGACACTCATGAAATAACAGGCCTAGATGGCTTAAGTTCCATATCAATTTCCATCAAGCAGATTTTCCAGGCATACGTTCAAGCAAAAGCAAGAAGTACTGGAAGGAATTTAAAAAGGACATAAATATCAAAACTTCATTTTCACAAACATCAAAATAAAAATTCAAAACAACTTAAAAAGAAACTGTTTATTGTGTTTAGTCAACTTATTGTTTTTGCTTTCAAGAGTACCTTAAATATGGGCTTGCTCTTACCAGGTGATCTACGGTTCCTTTACAGTCAATAGCTTTAACACTTTTCTTATTAACGAGTTAATAGTTTCTTTTTGAGATGGAGTGAGTTGATGGTTCAAAACTTCAAACTTTGTCTTTTGAGCTCTCCCCCCTCCCACAAAACGAAGTCTTCATCATCCCATATTTATTGCAGGGTGTTATCTAGGATGCAGAGGAAGAAATTCATTGTACTCTTCATGCAAAACGTGGAATTCTTTTTCCCATTTCTGCTATCCAGTGTGTTACTTTCCTCTGTTTCTACCAGCCAGAGTAAAGAACAAAAAGAATGACACAAACTGCCAGTTTCAAATCATTTGATGATTCAGGTATGCATTTCTACAGACAATCAAGGAACGGAACTGACCAGCTGATTTGAAGATGTTACTGGAATAGAATAAAACACCATTAATTCCACTGAGTTGCTGGAGTGCGAGTAGTCCAATACCTACCTGAATAAAATCAGCCGATAAAATGAGTCTTGACAAGAGTAGGGGGTTTCATTTCAAGTCCTTGTCTAGTCAAGGATACCAGACATAAATCAGCATAATTAAGGAATCCAACACAAATGTGTACCAGCAAAGGATAGTAATATCGCCGTATCTTAAGCTCAGAAAACCGAATGGTAACTTTTTTAGTTGATGATCTCACAGATTTCTGAGACAAGGACAGGAGAAACAAATGATGATGAACACATTTTTAGTAGTTTGCATTGCAAGAAGTTTCTACAGTGCAATTTGAGGGTTCAAAATAGTTGAGAAATCATCATTTAACACATTCCACATATTACCTTGATCTCATTCACTTCTGAGGATATATCTGTGTCAAATCCCCGTAGAACTTGCAAAGAAGTTTCAAAATCTTCATTCAGCCCATTTTTAGCCTAGATAATGCAGCATTGACATCAGTATAATATAACAATGAAAACCTAGTTGTGACAAACATAAGTTTGGAACTCATACCAACCAACGAGGAGATTCAGGTATAAAAAATAGACCAGGTATCAAAACCATGCATGGCAACATTCCTGCAGAGTGACATAAAGGATTATTAATAAATATGTTCAAAATCAAGTATACAAGTGACTACACATTATAACAGAAAGACATCAGCTCATTCAATGTTTTTGAGTTGCTTCAATGAACTTGCAATGAAGAATAACTTCAAATATTTCAAGAAGGAAGGGGAATTTTAGAAAGATGAAAACTTGTTTCAGCAAGATGAACGTCGTCAAATGCTTACTTGATAAAAAAAATTCCTACTAATTCTACCATCTTAAGAATAGAGAAGTTAATAAGATAACAATCAGTTTGTCAATCACCAAATGGTTAGGGAACCTATTGCAATTAAGCTAATTTTAACAAGGAAGACTGTATTACTCACCTATAACAGCAAGCACTCTCCAGCTTACAAATAATCCCAACAGATATACCAGCATAATCCCCACTGTTACAGAGAGCTAATGCCAAGAGATCAAATTATTTCTTTTTTTAATTAAAAATGAGCCATTTATATCTACAGATCATAAATCCTAGAGGATTGAGTGACCAGGGATATCTGTAAATCCCAATACAAAACCAACCTGGTTAATGGATCCAAGAACTCCCCTCATGTTTTTAGGTGAAATCTCTGCTATATATACAGGCACCTGCAGATAACAAGCAAGAAGATTCAGCAAGCAGGACTATTAACCATAACTTCAAGAAGAACAAGTACAGAAGTTGAACACTTAAGATTACCACATAGGAAATAATGCCGACACCAAAACCTTCCAACAGCCTTCCCATATACAAAAATGAGACATCCTGTTAAAAGTGGGAAAAGGGCATGTATGGTCAAGTTAATTACCTATAAAATTGCAGATTCAATCAGAATGTGCAAGAGATAGCAACTTATCACTTACAGTGGCAAATGAAACGGCAAGCCATCCAATAATATTAGGAATTGATGCAATCATTAGAGTCTGTATTTCAGAGAGAAGATGAGGTAACTGGGAAAGTTACTAAAGAACCAAAGAAAGAAAAATAAAAGATTATCATAGTGTTGAACTACTGTTGAGGCGAGTTTTAGAGCAATGGTAGAGTTGCTCCTTCGGTGACATGTAGCTCACAGATTGATGTGTGAAAACTTTTTGTTTCTTTTTTTTGCAGAAATGCGAAGGAAAGGTTGTGGCATTAAGAATACAAGACTAAACAGTTGAAAGTGCCTTAGAATTATACCCCTTTTCGTCCAATGTATTCTGATATTTGACCGCTTGCAATTGCGCCAACCATTGCACCAACATTTGCTAAAGATCCAAAGATCGAGAACTGTCCATGAAAAAGTAGCACTATGTTTAACCATACATCAGCAAGAAGATACTAAATAAAACCGGCCACCTATGAACTTTTTCAAGAAAAGTCCCACATATCACACAGTTTCTTTCGGTCACTAATTCTATTGTTTCCGTTTAGAACTTGTAGCTTCACTACACTAGATACACAGTGTGTTTGGTAGGAAGGGAAGTGTTTTCCATGAAAACCTCATTTTCTAACTAGAAGTCATTTTCCTTATAATTATTTTCAGTTGTAACTACATATAACATATTACTTGCTTCAATTAGCATTATTATCAATCTCTAGATACTCAAAAGAAAAGTCTAATCAAACACTCTAATTTCCTGCGTAATATTATTAGTATCAATGTTTGATATATACTGTGTATATATATAAATATATAGGGAGAGAAACAAATATTCATTTTACCATACCACATACACCCCCCAAAAACTACCCCAGTTTCCCTGCTGTTGTTTTTGTACAGAAAAAAAGGGAAATAAATGTACTAAGACAAAAAAATACCTCTGAAATGGTAAGTCCAAGGTCGCTGGTGATTTCGGACTGGGTAGGGTTAGAGTAGCCACACTATAAAATTACAAAAGCAACCATAATATAATTAATTATATAAAATTTGTATATGCAAATGCAAGGTGATGAAGAAATTAATAGTCATACGGTGAAGCCAAATTGAATTGGGCCTAATGCAACAATAAGAACACAAAGATAAATGGAGATAGATTCGTGGAGGATTTGGGCTGAGGATCCCATCATACTGGACTGGCGGGAGCTCATCCGGTACCAGCTGCCGGTATGCAGCAAGGGCTTCCGAAGCCCGTCGTCGGCGGTGGTATCATCTCGGAAACTCATCGTTCCTCCGTGTCTTCTGTTTCCGTTTAGGATAAAGGTGAAAAAAGATCAGAGGAGAAGTAGAATGCTGAAAGGGATTATTCATGAAGACGTTAATGGCGTATATTTCGCAACTGACTCTAAAATAACGGTGAAACATTCCCGCGCCACTAGAAGCGGAATGGACACACTTTTTTTTACGTATTTTAATAACTTCCTTTTAATAGTTTCATTTTATTTATTTTTTGGTTTAATATCAGTTTTGATCCTTCAGTTATCGACTAATTATAAATTTACTCCTATTAATAACCGATAAAGCATAATTGAAACATGCAGGCTTAGTTTCTTTGACTATGACCAACAAAATTTATCATGATTATTAATTGTGTCATCACTTAATTACTCCTATAATATTACTCACATTGATATAATTGTAAATATATTTGAAACAGATCATACAAAGATTGAAAATACACATTAGTTAATTGAAGGTTAAATATACTTTTTAAAATATCACAAGTATTAAAATTAATGATTATCAATTACCGTGTAACCAACCACAAATGTACTCATTGTCCCTTTAAATATTCATTTAATCACTAGTATATTTATTTTTGTGCATTTTATTTCAAATCTCTTTTTGTGATCCTCATTCTTCCTCGATGTATATATTTATCATGGCATATTGAGGATATAAAAGTGCTTATTAATTTATTCTCTTTGAGCTTTTTAATATATATAACTGCGCGTCAGTTTTGCTATTTTTTCAGGTTTAACATATGGAGTACTGAATCTCTCATTTCTCATATGAGTCATATATGTGTGGTTAATTATCATTTAATGTTAATGAAATATATTTAAATCCGACGACAACAATTGTACTCTAATTACATGACATGCATTTAGATATGATTTCAAAATAACATTTTAAAAATAAGAATGTGCTCGATCTTTACAGCAATCCAAAACTTGGACAAGGCTTTAATAGGCCATAGAAAAAGAGGGAAAAATAGAGAAAATGGTCTAAAACCCTCTCAATCTATATCCGAAATTTCAACTATACATTATATTTCACGGGAGTTCTATCACCCCCTTAAACTATTTTAAAGTGTAATTGTTTGCTCCCTAAATGCTGAGGTGGCAAAGAAAATGTAGTTCACTCTCTTTAAGAGAGTGAAAAGGCAAAAAAACTAATTAAAACTTTAATATTTTCCTTATTTCACATTATCTTTTTCTTTTCTAAATAAACTTCTATGTTTCCTTTTATTTATTTGTTACTTTTTACGATATTTTCTTCATTCTTCTTCTCTTTAACAGACCAGCAACAACACCGGCGGTGATGGCTTCTTTGATCCACCAGGTGAGCTTGGCTCCTCCACTACCAGGTCTCCTCCCCCATAGTTCCTCCATTACCAAGCTCCCTCTTATTTTCGAATTACACGCTTCTCAATGTAGCTCTACTAAAAATCCACCGAAAATAATCTTCGTTATTCTACCGTGTGAGAACAAACTTATCAACAACCAGTTCTGATGTAAACCACCACTTAAATCACCATCATCACATACTCTGTTTTCATAGCTTCAAGATAGGAGATGCAAATTCTGCTAGAGAGACAAAAGATATTCTGAAAAATAATTTTCTCTATACATCAATGATACAGTAGAAAGCACATATTTATAGCTATACAATTGTAGGGTTAGAGTTTTATTATAGGAATGAGTATATATGATTATAAATGTATATTCTGTAAATCAGTCATATTCCAAGAAAGAATATATTTTCTGATTACTATACAATATAGCTTTTCCTAACATCCCCCCTCAAATTGATACCGGTGATCACAAAGTAGCAATTTGGAGATAAGATATTAATGTCATGCTCGTGTCATCGCCTTTGTATACAAATCAGCAAGTTGATCATGAGAATAAATGTGTTGTAGAGTAATGAAATGATCGATAACAAATTCTCGAATGTAATAGCAGTCCACCTCTATATGCTTTGTGGTTTCATGTTGCACCAGGTTTGTGGCTATTTTAATCACACTAGTGTTATCAACATATAGCACTGAGTAAGATGTAATAGCGACATTGGGCTCAGATAATAGCCATCGTAGCCAAATAATTTCCGAACTTGCTCCCGACATGACACGATACTCAGCCTCTGTAGAAGATTAAGATGTACGGGATTGTTTCTTACATTTCCAAGATATCAAGGATGTGCCAAGAAACATGCACCAACCAATAGCAGAGCGACGAGAGTTAGTACAACCAGCCCAATCTGCATTAGTATATCCTTCAAGATGTATAGAAGAATTAGAATGAAAAAGAACACCTTGACTCATAGAACAACGAACATATTGAATGACACGAAGTAATGTAGTATGATGTATACGGTAAGGATTAACCACAAACTGACTTAGAACTTGTACTGCATATGAGATGTCTTGCCTTATCATAGTGAGATAAACTAATGATCCCACCAACTGTTGATACAATGTTGGATTATTGAATGGTTCTCCATCAACCTCCTTGTACTTTGTATTAATCTCCATTGGGGTGTACACAACCTTGTCATCAGTAAAACCAGCCCTTGCAACAAGATCACGAGCATACTTTTGTTGTGTAAGCATGATCCCAGTAGGCAAGTATAAAACCTCAAGTCTAAGAAAGTATGTCAGACGTCCCAAGTCTTTCATCTTAAATGAGGTATGCAAGAATTCTTTCAACTTAGTAATATTCTCTGAATCATTTTCTGTGATAATGATATCATCAACATAGATGAGAAGTATTGTGAGACCTACTGGAGAAATACAAAGAAATAAAGAATGGTCTGAAAAACTCTGAGAGAAGCCCGCAATTTGAATCGTGGATCGAAATTTGTCAAACCAAGCTCGGGGAGCCTGTTTTAAGCCATAGAGGGATTTTCGAAGACGACAAATTGCATTTGGTCTTGGCAGAACACACCTAGGTGGTTGTTTCATAAACACCGTTTCTTCTAGATCGCCATGGAGAAATGCGTTTTTCACATCCATTGTCACGCCCCATTTTTCTCGCGAAAAATGGTTTTCGACCTAACAACACTTTTGGAGCTTTTGGGTTGGATTGAAGAGTCGCCACCTAACGAATTAAGGTGCGTTAGGGCACCTATCTAACCTAGCTAAATCTAACTAAGATCAACGAACCAGAGATCAAGGTAAGGGTTCAAGTTACCTCGAGGGGAAGGTGTTAGGCATCCCTCGAGGTCCACAAATGTGGGTCCCGACCGTATCTCATGCAAATTATGTGGGGGTTACAAGTAGCAAATAAGGTCACTTCATTTATTTGGTTATTTATTAAACATGCTTGCTAAGTGATAACTAATATTAAACGATTAAGATCAATTTATTTATTTTTTATTATTTAATTTAAACATGCAAGACTAAGTGATAATATAATAACAAATAAAAAAGTAAAAAGAGATAAGCGAGGAGACAGAATTCACACAAGTAGATAAACAAATAATTAAGTTTTATTTTTTATTAAACTACCCAAATAATTATAATAAACATATAAAAGAGAAAGGGAAAGGGAGACTCTGAAGGACTTTAGGATCAGCACTCGACTTTCTTTATTTCGATCAGCTTCTTGTAGGGACAGACAAAACCAAGGTTTGTCATTAAGACCGAGTCGATGTCATCATCTCCATAGGGCCTAAACTACCCCTACCCCATCACTGCATGCTTTCGTCTGTAAGAGGTATCTAACGTCCCCGCTTAAGGTCCAAGAGGCATTTGGACGACTAATAGGAAGGGTTTTAGACTAAAATAAAATATAATAGGCCCACCTAGACACCAATTCAAACAGTTTGGACGAGCACTTAGCACATACGTCTCATTTTGGCCTCTAGATTAGGTTATTTAACATGCTAGCAAACACACACAAAGTGAAAAGTCTCATGCTTAAGTGTATGCATATAAACACGTAAACAAGCTTCATAATAATGATAAATAATTTAACAGGGACAGAGTGTAATGACAAAATGCAAAGTTTATTTGTTTTATTAATAAAGCATGCAGGAAGAATTTAGTTATTAGTTGATTAAAAATGGCAAGACAATTATTCATAATGCAGAAAACTAAATTTATTTTGAGGAAAATTTTATTAGGATCGCGAATCTAAAGTGACAGATTATGCTAAAATAGCATGTTAATGCAGTAGCAGATTAGACTATAATGTGAAATTTGTTTTGAGTAGCAGTCGGTTTAATAGATGCAGAAATTACTGAGTAGCTAATTTGATAAAAAAAAATTTTGTGTGACAGAAAACAGATAGTCGCAAAGGAATCTTTGAGCGGTCAATTCACTATTAATTTAAAACAATGATTATTACTATGCAAATTTTTACAGGCAGTGAGATATTTAAGTGTTTAAAGATGCAACAAGACTCATGCATGTAATTTATTATATTCAGATATGTGCACATAGATATGACAAGTTATTTAATTCCTATAGGGATTTTTAGTTCATTAACATGTTTGAAATTATTAATCATAAGCTTTAACATATTAACATGCAAACATTAATATGCGACACCTATAGGTAGGACTTATTTTTTAGATAGGAAATTACATTATGTATTAAATCCTACATGCTGTCTATGCCCAAAGTATGCCCTTAAATGAATTACCAAAAATTATTCATTACAGCCTGAACCAAACAAACTAACATGCTGACAGATTATTAGGATAACATTTAAACATGGCTTCTAAATTATTTCTAATGTGAGACAGATCATTGACCGAACACTCATTTATTTTTTACCTCTTTTCATGTGTTTATAAGAGAGGGAAGTGATTTTACTGAACACGACACTAGATAACCATGTAAAAGTCAAAACACTTTAGGTTATGAATATTATGCTAAAGGTGTTATAAAAAAAAAGATTTTATTTTAACACATAATTAATGGACATTAAGAAACAGCGGCCAACATAACATATGCTTTACAAATTGGACAACATTTAAGAGTAATAAAAATACCGGCCAGATCAATTTTCATTTTATTTATTTTTTTATCTTTTTTTATTTTTTATAAATAGATTTAGAGTGAGGATTGAGCATGTAATTAAATCACACTCCTCTATGCATGCTTTCTAACAAGTAAGTTGTGACAATATAACAAGTAACACGTAAAAATCCCCCTCCCCTTAGACGATCCCCAAGTTATTTCATATATATAGAGAGAGAGTTTTAGAGTTATACGAACATTACAAACTAAAAGCAAGTGGATAATATTTACACCATTCAAATAAACTTAAACATAATAGTCTCGTCTGGAAATCGCTTCTAGGAGACTCTTCAACACCTTGAACTCTAAGCTCGAAACCTGCTAGAGGGGATAATGAAAAATACGGGCAAGTAATGACACATAAAAGACGATTAAACATAGTAGCATGATAAAGAAAGCAAATATATATATATATATATATATGGATACACACATAATATTAGTTACTTCATGTACACAAGTAACATATAGGCATGTGAGAACTAAACAAGTTGTGGAGAATATGATCACACACCGAGAAAGAAAAGGATAGAAAAACTAACCCGGATGCTTCTTTTATTTATTAACACCCAATTTGGACTTAAGATGGCTAAAATAATGCAGAAACAGGAATTAAACATGTATTAAGGATGCTAACCAGTTATGCAGTAAAAGAAATCAGCAATGAAGATCCACACTTAATCCAGACCCGAACACAACAAAATAACAAATAGAGAGGAGCTTTTATGTTTACCAGAGAACTTAATTTTTAAGGGTAGAGAGTAATATATTTTTTTTTAGTATTCAAGTATGAGCAAAATCAAGATGTATTTTTCCGTCAGAAAAGAGTGAAAGGAGGGTATGTTTATATAGCAAAGAGGGGCATACAAATAAGGGAAAAAGAATAAATTAAGCTCATAGATTTTTTATTTTTATTTTTTCTTAATAAGAAGGACACCAAATCCGATTTTTTTTTAAAATTATTTTTACCAACTATAAAAGCAAGTAAGAATCTGCCTATACCTAAATAAAACAAGAGATAATAATATGTAAGGACCGGTCAGCACATAAAAGGAAAGCAATAATCACATAAGTAAAATATTCAACTATTACTAGATTACCATAAATAAATAAGTAAGAATCTGTGAGGGCCAAAAAATTAGGGAGGAGGGATCAATTTACAGCAACTATTAACATATCAATATTCACATATTAGTAAAACTATACCAACTTACCATAACAAAACAATGAGCAAATCGGTAAGAGAATAACCAGCTCAACATCATCACTTAGAAGAAGCAATTATAACGGTAAATTAAATCACTATGATCAATAACGATCTACCTAGGGGATCAAGCAATTAGGGCGGTGATCAAATCGAGGATTATCATTGAGGTCACAACAAATCAGATTATGATTAGCAATAGGAAAATCTTCTTAACCTAACAATGCTAAGCAACCAATACGATCATATTCAACACCAAATTGGACTAAGAATCAACCAGCATCAATTTGCAAAGTGACAAAATATACTTAAACAGATACGATCGATGGAGTTCTAACATAATATACTAACAAATATATCACTATTGACATAGAACAACAAACCACATGCGCAAGGATTTAAGTCTTAAAAGTAAAATTTTATACCTGGGACAGATCTGTAAGGATCTGTCCTTATCGAAATGCTTTGTGGATTCACCGGAACTCGTAGTTGGGGTAGCTTTTTGATTGCTACTGTTTGCCAGAGTTTTTGGCTTTCGCCGGAACTGCTGGTTGTTGTTGGTGTTGTTGCTGGCCGGAGTTATTGCGCTGGTTGCTGGAGTAGCTGCGCCGGCTGCTGGTTGCTGCTTCGTGGAGTTGCTGTTGGCGCTGGCTCGCCTGTCTGCTGGCCGGAGCAGCTGTCGTTGTCGTCCGTCGCTGCTGGATGGAGCAGTTGTTGCTGCTGTTTTCTCGCCGAGCTGTTGCTGTCACGGAGCTGCTGCCTGCGCTGGTTCGCCTGGCTGCTGGTTGGAGTCGGCTGGAGGGACTGGTTGTGTTGCCTGCTGCTGGTTGCTGTCCGGCTGGAGCTGCTGCTGGTTGCTGTCCGGCTGGAGCTGCTTCCCTGGTCGGAGCTGCTGGTCAGACGAGGAGAAAGGAGACAGAGAAGCAGATGTGAGGAGAGGGGAATGAGAGAAAAGAGAAGCTGGAGGGAGAAGCGACGGAGGCCAGCGGCTGCCGGCCTCGCCGGTGGCTGTTTCACCGGAAAAATGGAGAGAACGAAAGGGAAGGAAAAGAGGGAGGAGGCGGCTGGAGAGGGAGAGAGGAGAGAAAAAAAAAATGTTAGGGTAAGGGGTCTTTTAGGTTAAAATAGGAAAGAGAATGGTCATTCAATATGAGCCGTTGGATTGGTTTTAGATGAGTGGCTAGGATTTGATCTAGGATTTAATTTAAAGATGGACGGACGAGATTAAAATGAATTTTAAAAATCAGATTGAATTGAGGAGTTGGAATGGCTAGAATTGCAATAAAATTGGCTAGATTTGAAATGAAAGGGTGGTTATTATTGAAATAAAATTTGGATTGAATTGGCTAGAATTTGAATGAATTAGAATAAAAGGCTATAATTTAAATGATTTTGAGGAAAATTAAAGAAATCCAATCCAATTAAAATACTACAAACATTATAATTAAAATCACTAAAATTTAAAATATTTGAAATAAAATAATTATTTTGAGTTTTATTAATAATTTTAAAAATATTTTAATAATATTCACGATAATTTTAAAATCACGCATACTAAGATATATGATTTTAAGACAAAACTGATTAAAATTTTAAACTTGAATATGTTTTAAAAAATACGTATTTAAACGAATAGCATTCCAAAAGGGTTAAAGGTCGGTCAAAATTGGGTGTCAACATCCATCTGATGTAAGGTCCAGCCTTTCATTGAAGTCACAACCAATAATGTATGTACCGTTGTCATCTTAGCAACAGGTGCAAAAGTCTCCTCATAATCCACCCC